GTAGCCCATCTGAATTAGGACATTTAGGCTATCCATCTAATAGTAGCCTACCAAAATCTTATTAACAGTAGAAGTTAAATCTTACTGTAGTCTTCAAATCTGGGTACTGTCTTACGTTTTAAAATCACAAAGAGAGTTTGGTCCCATCAGGCTAACGTGACCGTCACGACTCATGCAGCTGTAAGCTTTTCTTTCTCTTTACAACACGCATTACATTACGTATTTCATATATCTAGACCCTGAATATAAGACGACCGCGTTTCTTCAGATGTATTTCCAAGAAAAAAAACATCGCCTTATATTTGGGTTAATACGGTATATATATACACATATATATACATATATATAAAATTTACAGATTATATTTATTATTTTAATTTTGCATTTTATTTTCTACCAATGTATTTTGTACATTAACATTTTGCAGTCTAGAAAGAGAGAGAGAGAGAGAGATTTGACTGGCTTATGAAAAATAGGTTGTTATAATATTTAATATTAACATTTCATAATCAGATGCACTTGAAGCAAAAAAAAATTGGGGGGGAAAACAGGACAGGTCTTTATTTTAGCCTTAAGGGACTTAAATGGCTTGTAGGATATTGTTGAATAAAAAAAACTACAAAAATATACATTTTAAAATATAAAAGTACATATAAAAAATTATGAATAAATAATATCTGATTTGAATATATAGTAACTAATAACAAAATATATAACATTTTACCTCAAATTGTTATTTGATTGATTGGTTGTGATGCTAATTTATTTTAACGTATTGTCAATAACTGCACCGAATCCTGACACGGGGGATTTTACATGTGCAGTGTTACAAGTAAACCGAGTCCATTCTGATTAAGTGTTATTATTGACACAGTATTCATAACTGCGAAACATGGCAAAGAGAAACATGAAGGCAGATGCTGATTGGTGTGAATCAAACCTTTGTTTTTCTCTGCTTCTTCTACGGCTCCAATGTAGCTGCTGGACGAGACCTGACTGGTGTCCACAGACGGGTCCAGAGCGTAACCTGATCATAATCCACAATCACACACACTGGATATCAATGACACATGCTCTATGGATGATTACAGACACATTAGAAAAGCTACGCTACCGGTCAAAAGATTTAGAACAGCAAGAATTTTAATGTTTTTAAAGAAGCCTCTTCTGCTCACCAAGCCGGCATTATTTGATCCAAAATACAGCAAAATCAGTAATATTGTGAAATATTTTTACTATTTAAAACAGCTGTGTTCTATGTGAATCTCTGTTAAACTGTAATGTATTTCTGTGATGTGCAGCTGTATTTTCAGCATCATTCCTCCAGTCTTCAGTGTCACATGATCTTCAGAAATCAGTATAATATGCTGATCTGCTGCTCAAGAAATATTTATTATTATTAATATTCAAAACAGTTGAGTACATTTTTTTAAGGATACTTTGATGAATATAAAGATCAGCATTTATCTGAAATAAAAAGCTTTTGTAACATTATACACTACCATACAAAAGCTTGGAGTCAGCATAATTGTTTTTTTGGGGGAGAAAGAAATACTTTTATTTAGCGATGATGCTTTAAATTGATCAAAAGTGATGATAAAGAGATTTATAATGTTACAAACGATTTCTGTTTCAGATAAACGCTGTTCTTCTGAACTTTCTATTCATCAAAAAACCTGAATAAATCCTACTCCGCGGTTTTCTAAATAATAATAATAATAAATGTTTCTCGAGCAGCAGATCAGCATATTATACTGATTTCTGAAGATCATGTGACACTGAAGACTGGAGTAACGATGCTGAAAATACAGCTGTGCATCACAGAAATAAATTACAGCTTAACAGATATTCAAAGAGAAAACAGTTCTTTTAAATAGTAAAAATATTTCACAATTTTACTGTTTTTGCTGTA